GATTGACTTCCAGCCAATTCGATCTATCGAAGCCGAGTGGGAAGAACAAAGAACTGAAACCCATGGTCGCAACGATGCTCCTCGCGGACAAGGGAGAGTTAGGGCCATCGGTGGTCACAAGACTGCAGAATATTTATTTTTTTAAGCGTTGAGGTTGTCACGAAAGCGTACTGTAACGGGACTGTATCAGATTTGAGTGATTTGATTTTGTGATTCGCAGTTCACGTGATTTTATTGAGATCTTAGACTGTAAAAACTATAAAGGTTCAAGTTGAACTATCGTCGCCATGATTATGTATTTTGGAACTGTTCACGTTGAAATTGCTTCGTTAATCAGCAGTCTTCCTTGGTTACCTTCTACTGTGTAATGCAGCTACGATCAACGATACTTAGCTAGTACATTCATAGTAACTGCACTGAGAAGAGTAAAAAATTTGAGCTTTGACGGAATAACATTTCCTCGTTTTTAGATACGGTTACTATTCTAGTGAGGGGTTCATAGCTGACCATTAAGGTCTTACTCACAATAATTTGTGCTCTGATATTGGCCGTACTGACAGCTGTTGAAAAAGCCACGCCATCAGATGCGCGTCACGAGAGTCCACCCCAGTAGACCCCACTACGTACAAAATTTGAAATTTTCCCAGAAACTTCTGATTAAGCTAGTTTGTTTTCAATAACTTTTGCAATATTAACAGTAGACCCTTCAAATTTTCACCAAATGTTACTCCAGACATTTCTGCATGGTAACTGTGTCATAGAATTTTAATTTAGGGACCCAATTTTGTGCAACACTCCGGTATCTGACGACCGGTCGCGGACGTGGTTATTGTATTGTCAACTTCTATTGCACACTGAGCGAGCTATATTTTGAGTACAAATATAAACTTTACACCAGGCGAAAGCTGAGACGTTTCTCTTTAAGATGATCACCTCACATTCCGTGTATCTGTGACATTGAGATAGTAACGAATCAAAACGTCAAGTTGAACAGGCTACAAAATACGCGCTGAATAAAAGTCCACCCCAGGAGTCCACCCCACGCGCGTAGGGTGATAATGTCACTGACATAATCAATCAAAAAGAAACAGATCCTAGAAAGGTAGAGATCTAGACATAAAATGGAGTCCGGTACAAATAAAATCGAAAGTCAAAAGTGAAGACAATGGAAAAAATACATCAAAACTGATTATATATAAATGGTTCTTTAACATTTGCTTAAAACAGTTGGTATCAGTAATACACCTCAACATCAGCGGAAGATAGTTCCATGCAACCGGTGCAATGGCTCGAGAAAGTCTGTCATCACTCATCAACTTTGGACTTTTTATTTTTGAGCATGAGATGGTCATCCGGTCTTTTCGACCTGGTCACGGTGTTTGAAAGTTCTGTATCCACTACATCTATGATCCACATCCAGTATTGCTTTGAGGTAACCAGGTGCATTTGTGGGTTAATAGACAAACTTTAAAGAAGATTAGCTGGTCTATAGGGAGTATGTGGGCCTTCTTATAGAAATGAACCCTTCCGTAGTTCTGTCTTCTATGTTATAGATGAAACGAACTGCCCCATTAAGATGAATCTAAGTTTGTTTAATCTGGTCTTGGGTAGATTCATGTACAGAGAATTACAATAATCCAACTTAGATATAACCAGTTGTTTCACCAACATCAATTTAATGCCTTCATCCAGGTAACGACCAATAGTTCTTAGGTTCATCATTTAAAAAAAATTTGATTTTCGTAAATGTGTGCTGACTCCACACCTGTGTTTTAACCTAATATTTAGTGTATTACAGGTAGAAAATAATTTAGGTAGGTATTATAATAGGACTGGTTCACAGTGTGAACAGATTCAAGATTTATATTTTTAAACTGATATTTAATAAATGATTAGGTGAACATTAGGTAAAAAGCAAAAGGTTGTATAGTAACCATGGCAACGAGAATTGTTACATGCACGTGCACGTGCAAAGATTTGGAGCGCCATTTTGATCGGTTTTGTAGTAATTACATTGTGTTTAACGTGTTTTACATTTAATGTGACGGATATTTTTTGATGGGATAAAAACTGACTACCAAAGATAGGTAAAAATAATTTTACCTTCCTTCCTGTGACCACGGGCTTTCTAGTATATTATGAGTATTGCTGAAAGCACAGTGTAAGGCATACACGGACCACCTCTAACTGTCCAATCCCTGTTTACATGCCGTGTAGCAGGGGACTAGAAAGAGCTAAACTAGTAAGCGGGGCATAGCCAATACACTATACTCCCATCATTGAGTATATTACCAACCAGAAGGAAAATTTCCTTGTGTTTGGAATCTACCAAGACGAAAGTTGTACAATCCAGCGAAATTCCGAAGAATAATAAATAATAAATAAAAATAATATAATTTAACTGCTGCCAGGATCTGCCAGGTAATTTTTGCAGACTAATAATAATTCCTCTCTATATAGTAATAATAAACAAGATGCAGTTTACCTAAACTTCTTATTGTAGGATGCCTGCCAATGTGATGTTACAATCTGGTGCCACAGAACTGAAAACGGTGTCACCCAGCATCAGAAGCACTGCCAGTTCATTCCGGGGTAAGTGAAAATATTGCTGATCTTTATCTATTTTCAATAAAACAAGGTATTAAATGTAAATTCAATTATTTATGAAGTGGTTCCAGTTCAGTAATCGATTTCTCGAATGCTTCAACATAAGGATCTAGTTTCAGTTATTGTAAAATAATCAAATAGTATCTTACTGAATTCACCTAAATCACTTCTTAAACAACTTTAGTTCAAAGTTTGAGACATTTTTTTTAGAAACAAATTTAATTGCACTTATTTCAAGTTTTAAAACATAGCATTTAACATGGCTAACCATTTTTTTCTCCCAAACGGTATTTAACATGATAGCAGAATCATCGCAAAAGGAATCAAGCATACCTTAGGTAATCAATTATCAATAAACTCTACAACTATTAAAAGCTTCTCACCATCTACTTTACCAGTCCCACTTTAAACTAGACCTGTACGTGCCAGGGGAATAGCAGGGTAATCAGGATGGCCTGGTACCCAAAATAGCAGGGTAATCAGGATGGCCTGGTACCCAAAATAGCAGGGTAATCAGGATGGCCTGGTACCCAAAATAGCAGGGTAATCAGGATGCTCCGGTACCCAAAATCCCCTTTACCAGCCCCACTCTTCTCAGAAACCTACAATCAACAACAGTCCCTCAGCAGCAATACATCTCCCTCGGAGAAGCTTCCCCTTTACGGTTATGTGTTCTTCGTACTTTTCTTGATTTGCATGTGGACTGCTGTTCTTTTCCCCACTGTGGTTCACTTTTTTCCTCATATTGTCAGTCACGGGTGAGTTTTTTTTTTACAACGCTTTCGTTTTCCATATATATAACATGTATAATTTACAGTAATGTACTGCTGGAAATACATGAAACACACTTTCAAACCATGTAAATCTGCTAAAATATTTGGTATAAAATAAGAACACAGTTAATCATATTGTTACCTATACATTCAAAGATCGCTTCAAATTTCCCGTTTCAGGTCCCATATGAACCATGATATGGGTGGTCGCCATGGTAACAGCTCACACCATAATATGAACAGTCTTCATCACAAACATTCCTTGGTCAGCGACACTCACAAAACACATCAGTCTAGTGGTATGGAGGTGGGTGATATTAACAAAGACAATCAGCTTAACCATACACGTCGTATCAATAATGATAATTCTCAGATGAGTGAGCAAATGGATCACTCTCAAACAAATAACGGTATGGAAATGAACAAAATAAATATGAATCATACAAACAGTAGTGAGATGAACGAGAGTGAACAATATCAGATAAAGGATTCGTCCCCAATGTTGCTGGTCAACGTTTCTAAGAATAATACAGACAAGTCGAAAATTAACAATCATTCTACACATGAATCAGTTATGAGTACCTCAATATCTGATACAGTTACACAGACTGAACTACCTACTGCTATCATGGTTACCATGGTTACCATGGTTACCATGGTTACAGAAGCTCTCTGGACGAACACGTCTCATTGCGTGGATTACACAGGTTATCAGTTTTACAAAATACACTTTAAATATTACAGGATTGTGTATCTAGACTAGATCCACTATTCACCGGATTTCTAGAAATATGGAGGGAAAATTGCTCGGTAAATAAAAACCCATAGACTCTATCTAATTGAATAATCAATATCATTGCTTCCGATAATGAGTTGGAGGGAGCTAATTAAGAAAAGTAAATGTAGTTACTGTAGACACGTGGTTGACAGTTGACACGAAGTAGACACGTAGTAGACACTATGTATTAGTAAACGTACTGTCTATTGAGGACTTACTGCATCAAACGTTATATATTAGTGGATATGTGTACTTACATGTTTACTGCATATTAACTTACATGTAAACTGTCGTTATTAATTAATATTTATTTCAATATTTCAGGTGATGTGTGCAAGAGTGTATTTTCTCAAATAGCACCCACTACAACCAGTGTGGAGAAACACGATACATTTATAAGCAGTGTATCAGGGCATCTTAAAGCAATGTAAGTTTAAATCTGAAACGCTCCGGTTTGGTGAATCTTGGTACGATGAATCTAAGCTTTGGTTTTAATTATTTAAAATAATAATATCCACTGTATACTGTATAGTGTTTATCATGGGACTAACTTTTACCCGTGATCCTAGTGTAATTTTTAAGGAGTGTCGTCTGAACGAATTTGTCGTCAACAGGTTATTAACGAGGAAATAAGTTTCCGCTTTTAATGTCGTCAACCATTTATGACAGCCCTCATAATTTACATCTCAGTAAATCTGCCTATAAAACTAGTTACACTTAACAAGTTTAGCCCTGATTAACGCCTGAACTAATTTGAGGAATTAAAAAGTTCACTGAACAACAAAAAAAGGTTGCTCCATTTAATTGAAAACAGGACACAATTAAATGCATGATTAATACCTTAATCAGGTATTAACTAATACAAATTAGTAATGATGTAAACACACGGAGATAGCAGAGCACCTGTAATTAGCCTTTAGCACGTGCAATTATATTTTAGCACGTGCAATTATATTTAAGCACGTGCAATTAACTTTATTGCCGAGATTTGCTGTTACCTAACTGTGAAGTGTGTTTAGAATATCTACTAAATACCGAGATAATTAGAGCTGCTAGTAGTACATCTAAATATTAGCTTAATTAACTGTTAGATTTAACTGTATAGGAATATTATTGTGTAACCAGTTTCAAACCACCAAATAATTTGTGAATTATACTCAGAATTCACAATTTATTAGTTTCCTGCTCAGAAGTAACAACTCATTAGTTTCCTGCTCAGAAGTAACAACTCATTAGTTTCCTGCTCAGAAGTAACAACTTATTAGTTTCCTGCTCAGAAGTAACAACTTATTATTTTCCTGCTCAGAATTAACAACTTATTAGTTTCCTGCTCAGAAGTAACAACTTATTAGTTTCCTGCTCAGAAGTAACAACTTATTAGTTTACTGCTCAGAAGTAACAACATATATTAGTTTCCTGCTCAGAAGTAACAACATATATTAGTTTCCTGCTCAGAAGTAACAACTTATTAGTTTCCTGCTCAGAAGTAACAACTTATTAGTTTCCTGCTCAGAAGTAACAACTTATTAGTTTCCTGCTCAGAAGTAACAACTTATTAGTTTCCTGCTCAGAAGTAACAACTTATTAGTTTCCTGCTTAGAAGTAACAACTTATTAGTTTCCTGCTCAGAAGTAACAACTTATTAGTTTCCTGCTCAGAAGTAACAACTTATTAGTTTCCTTCTCAGAAGTAACAACTTATTAGTTTCCTGCTCAGAATTAACAACTTATTAGTTTCCTGCTCAGAAGTAACAACTTATTAGTTTCCTGCTCAGAATTAACAACTCATTAGTTTCCTGCTCAGAAGTAACAACTTATTAGTTTCCTGCTCAGAAGTAACAACTTATTAGTTTCCTGCTCAGAAGTAACAACTTATTAGTTTCCTGCTCAGAAGTAACAACATATATTAGTTTCCTGCTCAGAAGTAACAACTTATTAGTTTCCTGCTCAGAAGTAACAAAATGCTTGATAACTTCGTCATTTCTAATCCGTTTTGCCTCATGTTTTCAGATCATATGCAACATTTGATAATATACCGTCTCTGAAAAAATTAGGCGTTCAGCATGTTCAGAGAAAACAATATAGGTGTTTTAATATTGAATGGGCGTGGTCTAAAATATTCGAATTTTCAAATTTTGACGACGGAATCCTCGAACCAGTAAGTACAGTATGCCATCTGCAAAGCAACAGCTCTCAAATATAAAACACGGCGGAGCTATTAAGGCCAACGTATGGGTACTGACTTTTGGCCCACCCTGTAGTAAGATAGAAATATTATTGTGTAACCAGTTTCAAACCACCAAATAATTTGTGAATGATAAATTATACTCAGAATTAACAACTTATTAGTTTCCTGCTCAGAAGTAACAACTTATTAGTTTCCTGCTCAGAATTAACAACTTATTAGTTTCCTGCTCAGAATTAACAACTTATTAGTTTCCTGCTCAGAAGTAACAACTTATTAGTTTCCTGCTCAGAAGTAACAACTTATTAGTTTCCTGCTCAGAAGTAACAACTTATTAGTTTCCTGCTCAGAAGTAACAACTTATTAGTTTCCTGCTCAGAAGTAACAACTTATTAGTTTCCTGCTCAGAAGTAACAACATATATTAGTTTCCTGCTCAGAAGTAACAACTTATTAGTTTCCTGCTCAGAAGTAACAACTTATTAGTTTCCTGCTCAGAAGTAACAACTTATTAGTTTCCTGCTCAGAAGTAACAACTTATTAGTTTCCTGCTCAGAAGTAACAACTTATTAGTTTCCTGCTCAGAAGTAACAACTTATTAGTTTCCTGCTCAGAAGTAACAACTTATTAGTTTCCTGCTCAGAAGTAACAACATATTAGTTTCCTGCTCAGAATTAACAACTTATTAGTTTCCTGCTCAGAAGTAACAACATATTAGTTTCCTGCTCAGAAGTAACAACTTATTAGTTTCCTGCTCAGAAGTAACAACTTATTAGTTTCCTGCTCAGAAGTAACAACTTATTAGTTTCCTTCTCAGAAGTAACAACTTATTAGTTTCCTGCTCAGAAGTAACAACTTATTAGTTTCCTGCTCAGAAGTAACAACTTATTAGTTTCCTGCTCAGAAGTAACAACTTATTAGTTTCCTGCTCAGAAGTAACAACTTATTAGTTTCCTGCTCAGAAGTAACAACTTATTAGTTTCCTGCTCAGAAGTAACAACTTATTAGTTTCCTGCTCAGAAGTAACAACTTATTAGTTTCCTGCTCAGAAGTAACAACTTATTAGTTTCCTGCTCAGAAGTAACAACTTATTAGTTTCCTGCTCAGAAGTAACAACTTATTAGTTTCCTGCTCAGAAGTAACAACTTATTAGTTTCCTGCTCAGAAGTAACAACTTATTAGTTTCCTGCTCAGAAGTAACAACTTATTAGTTTCCTGCTCAGAAGTAACAACTCATTAGTTTCCTGCTCAGAAGTAACAACTTATTAGTTTCCTGCTCAGAAGTAACAACTCATTAGTTTCCTGCTCAGAAGTAACAACTTATTAGTTTCCTGCTCAGAAGTAACAACTCATTAGTTTCCTGCTCAGAAGTAACAACTTATTAGTTTCCTGCTCAGAAGTAACAACTCATTAGTTTCCTGCTCAGAAGTAACAACTTATTAGTTTCCTGCTCAGAAGTAACAACTCATTAGTTTCCTGCTCAGAAGTAACAACTTATTAGTTTCCTGCTCAGAAGTAACAACTCATTAGTTTCCTGCTCAGAAGTAACAACTTATTAGTTTCCTGCTCAGAAGTAACAACTTATTAGTTTCCTGCTCAGAAGTAACAACTTATTAGTTTCCTGCTCAGAAGTAACAACTTATTAGTTTCCTGCTCAGAAGTAACAACTTATTAGTTTCCTGCTCAGAAGTAACAACTTATTAGTTTCCTGCTCAGAAGTAACAACTTATTAGTTTCCTGCTCAGAAGTAACAACTCATTAGTTTCCTGCTCAGAAGTAACAACTTATTAGTTTCCTGCTCAGAAGTAACAACTCATTAGTTTCCTGCTCAGAAGTAACAACTTATTAGTTTCCTGCTCAGAAGTAACAACTTATTAGTTTCCTGCTCAGAAGTAACAACTCATTAGTTTCCTGCTCAGAAGTAACAACTTATTAGTTTCCTGCTCAGAAGTAACAACTCATTAGTTTCCTGCTCAGAAGTAACAACTCATTAGTTTCCTGCTCAGAAGTAACAACTTATTAGTTTCCTGCTCAGAAGTAACAACTTATTATTTTCCTGCTCAGAAGTAACAACTTATTAGTTTCCTGCTCAGAAGTAACAACTTATTAGTTTCCTGCTCAGAAGTAACAACTCATTAGTTTCCTGCTCAGAAGTAACAACTTATTAGTTTCCTGCTCAGAAGTAACAACTCATTAGTTTCCTGCTCAGAAGTAACAACTTATTAGTTTCCTGCTCAGAAGTAACAACTCATTAGTTTCCTGCTCAGAAGTAACAACTTATTAGTTTCCTGCTCAGAAGTAACAACTCATTAGTTTCCTGCTCAGAAGTAACAACTTATTAGTTTCCTGCTCAGAAGTAACAACTCATTAGTTTCCTGCTCAGAAGTAACAACTTATTAGTTTCCTGCTCAGAAGTAACAACTCATTAGTTTCCTGCTCAGAAGTAACAACTCATTAGTTTCCTGCTCAGAAGTAACAACTTATTAGTTTCCTGCTCAGAAGTAACAACTTATTAGTTTCCTGCTCAGAAGTAACAACTTATTAGTTTCCTGCTCAGAAGTAACAACTTATTAGTTTCCTGCTCAGAAGTAACAACTTATTAGTTTCCTGCTCAGAAGTAACAACTTATTAGTTTCCTGCTCAGAAGTAACAACTTATTAGTTTCCTGCTCAGAAGTAACAACTTATTAGTTTCCTGCTCAGAAGTAACAACTTATTAGTTTCCTGCTCAGAAGTAACAACTTATTAGTTTCCTGCTCAGAAGTAACAACTTATTAGTTTCCTGCTCAGAAGTAACAACTTATTAGTTTCCTGCTCAGAAGTAACAACTTATTAGTTTCCTGCTCAGAAGTAACAACTTATTAGTTTCCTGCTCAGAAGTAACAACTTATTAGTTTCCTGCTCAGAAGTAACAACTTATTAGTTTCCTGCTCAGAAGTAACAACTTATTAGTTTCCTGCTCAGAAGTAACAACTTATTAGTTTCCTGCTCAGAAGTAACAACTTATTAGTTTCCTGCTCAGAAGTAACAACTTATTAGTTTCCTGCTCAGAATTAACAACTGAAATCTAAAAGTAAAGATCATGTGACTGATCCCGTGACTGGTAATACAAATAAAACTTCCTTTGAAACGACATAACACTGATAATAATATTACTCCTTAAAAACGAGTCTGACGGTAATTTCCCTCAAATTTTCCGATTGCTTCATCCCAATCCTTCAATTAAAAGTGTGTGAATTTAAAGA